CAAATATAAACGGTGCACAGATATCTGACCGGTCAGCGCTGTGCTGGGAGCGCACACTGTGCACCGCCCCGCGCTGTCCCGGGAGTGTGGGAAAAGTGGGCAGCTTGGTGTGCGGTGGTCCAGGAATGAGGACTTGCACCGGACTCTGGTGAGTATCGGGAACCCCGCGGCTGCTGGGGTTGGCCAGAGAACAGCTGGCCCGCCACCACGGGGAAATCAGTAACAGAGTCTGGTGCAGACATATTAGCCTGGCGGCAGAAACTGCAGTGTGGTGACATCACCAGGTCCCCCTGAGGGGAGGGTTGGTGGAAGACATCTTGAGTCCTGGCAGAGCCTGATTACTTGCTGGCTTCAGCTCCACACAGAGAACTTAGTGGGAGACATCTTATTTTTGGGCGGAGCTGCTATTCTGGTGCTCCTGTCACAGAGAGGTTTGGAAGAGAACGGCTGGGATTTGGGCAGAAACCTGTGCCATAGTGACATTACTCAGCTGCTTCTGGTACAAAGAGAATTGGCAGGAGCTACTGGGGCTAAACCAAGCCTCTGCTTGGGGCCCAATAAGCGGATACAAAATAGTGACAACCAGAAAGTACAGCCTAATTTATGAACTAACTGACACAGAGGCTAGAGACTAGCCTGTACCGCCCCTGCATCCCAGCCTACCCCAGATAACAGTAAATTGGGGAGGACAGCAAAAACTCAAGCCAGCACGCTTCTGAAAGGCCCTAAGCAATTTGGAGAGGGCCAGAGAACTCCAGGACAGTCTGAAAGAAACCAGAAACATGACAAGAGATAAAAATTAAAAAAAAAAAATCTTCAGCTGCTCAACAGGAGAAAACAAGCCCAGGAGAACTAAACACTGAAGACAACAAGCACAGTAATCCTCCTCTACTCGACACAGCATTAGCCGAAATTAAAAAGTACCTACATGATCTCATAGAGGAATTTAAAGCTGTACTCCTGATCCAAGTAAGGCAAGATATAAAGAGATTAATTAAAGAAATGACAAGCCCCGTCCAAGAGAACACAGATGGAAGAACTGAGGAAATCAGAAAAGAAAGAGAAGCATCTGAAGAAGAATTTAAACATAACTTAGAATACATGAAACAGATCCAAAGAGAATATCAGGAAACTAAAAATTCCATTGAATATTGGCAAAATGCCTTGACAGAAACTAAAGACAGCCTTCTGAAACTTGAAGAGAGATTTAGGGCATATGAACGTGAAAGAAAAAGCCTCTTAAAAATAACAAGGAACCAGAAAGAAGCAATTCTAAAACTGGAAGATGACAAGAAGATACATAACCTAAGAATAAAGAATGTGAGTGAGGAAGCAGGAACATCCAAAAGTGAAATACAAAAAATATTCACAGATATATTAAAGCAAAATTTCCCATATATAGCAAAAAGAAATGATATCCAGATAAAAGAAGCATACAGAATGCCAGCTACCTACAACCAAAACAGATCTACGCCTAGACATATAATAATCGAGATCCCAGAAATCCACCAAAAAAACAGAATATTAAAAGCAGCCAGAGAAAAGATACAGGTTACCTATAACGGAAAATCTATCAAAATAACAGCAGACTTATCAACACAAACTCTTAAGTCAATAAGGGAGTGGGGAGAAATATTCCAAGTCCTGAAGGAAAAAAATATGCAACCAAAGTTCATATATCCGTCAAAACTCTCTCTAAAAATTAATGAAGAAATAAGATACTTTCAAGACAAGGAGGAACTGTGGGAGTTCGTGGCCACCAATCCAACCCTACAGAGAGTGCTGAAGGACATTACAGAGAAAGAGAGGAAGAGATATCAGGATTCCAGCTATAGTGGCAGAGAGGCCTCAGTGAACGGGGCAGACAATGGAATGAGGGAATAAGGTGGACAAATTATAGCAGAAAAGTGGAGTAGCAGACATGAGGCAGAGACGGTAAGCTAGTCTTTAGTAGAGACAGCTCTGAAACTATATTTAAAAAAAAAAGCAGAGGTCATTGCTAATGCTGTATAACGATTTAAAAGACACAGTAGTCCTAGTGCCATATTTAGATTGAATTTAATTTGTTCTGGTCTGTCCACTCATGACAGATTTGAAGACAAAGACCTCTAGAACCAAAAATAGCAGGTTATACCACGGCAACTATCCTTACTTTCCTATTGACTTAGGCTGAAATCCTGTATTACTTACATTGTCTTACTATGACTGATCTTAATTGTATCTGAATCATAAGACTATTGGTTGGCCTTGACTGATTCTATTTGAAATTGGTATGCTTGTTAGAATCAACTCTAAAAGTAGAGGAAACTACTCTGAGCATGACAAGGTGTATAGGATATCCATACTGGTATGAATCAGTAACAGCTCTCAAATACTACAATGCAGTCAAAGTTAAGTTTTTATAAAAATAGGTGATAGTATGTTTAACTATAATAAGCCAGTGTTGTGGACAAATCTATTGAAAATAACAAGAGAAAACATAGTAGCTACGGAAGATCATTTATATTGTAGTCTTATATGTCTTATCCATTGCATGTTTTTCTAGGAAATTGTTTTGCTGTCTAGTTATGACTTGGTTTTCCCTATAATACAGAGAGGATAGATATATAGGTAGAAATTCACACATGGGTTTTTTTTTTCTTAAATTATTTACGGGAACAGATTATATAATACAAGATGTAAGGAACAAATACTCTGAGGAAGAGGCGCTGAGAAACCCGAGGCTTATTTTGTAGCATTATAATATAAATTCTAGCAATCTATTGTTTGCTGATTAGAATGACATTAGTCTGGTTTCTTCAGTTCAACTTCAGCATATGCAGAGATGGGGACGGCTATCACAAAGAGAATGAGAGATGCGATGGTAGTTGCTATTGTCTTCCCTAATTTGGAACTTGAGGACCTAAAAAGACTTCATCATCCTGTAATGATTTGATTAGTTCTATAATATGCAATAAATATATAAAGTGGGTGAAGATAGGGACAACTATTTGTAAGAAGCTAGAGACAGTTAGATAATGAAGATCTCCAGTGGACTTGCTTTGAAACCTGTATTTTTTTAAATTGTTTTTTATTTTTATTTTTTTAAATGTTCTGTTCTGTTTTGATATGTTTAATCTTACCCTCTTTGAGATGTAAAACAAATGTGTAGGACTGATAATCATATTACGGAGCTTTTGTTCGATCATAGAGCAGAATGGTCTGTAGGGTCACTTTTTTGAATGTCATTCTAAATACTTTAATTCTACAACCTGAATAGCTGTTTCGAAGGTGACAACTTGTAACTTATCAACCGGCAATTTCTTACCTTTTGTTTATCTGTAATCTTGTATTATTTCTAACCTTTTTTTTTAAATTTTTATCTCCATGTATTTTTTTTTTCGTTTCCTTTTCTTTAAATAAAAAAAAAAAAAAACATTCATGTTCAGTACAAATTTCTACACTAATATTTTTGATCTGGTTGGTTGAATCCATGGACGCAGAACCCAGCGATAGGAAAGACTGTGTTCAGAGCTGTGTCTTTAGCCTGTTGCTTGCTGTGTCCATGAGGACCATCGGGACTCCTTCCCTTGTAGCCCATCTGCTAACTTGCTCCAAAACTAAAGAGCCACATGTCCAGTGGTGACGGTGTGAGCTTATCTCTCCACACTGGGCAGACGCCCTACTCGGGCTCATCTGTGAGCCAGGCTATGATTTATGAAGGTAGATGAACAAGATTCACCAGCCCCCATACCTTATCTATTTCCATCCTCATAAAAAGTTGTAAATTGGCCTTTATGAATTTTCTTCCATTTTATGGAGAGGATAACTAAGGCCTAAAGAGCAGCAAGTCTTTAAGCCAAGTCAAAAGTCTTTAATTCTTATCTGTAGACCAACATGAACTTGACCCTGGTAGAAAGAAAAACAGCCCTGTTTATGCTTTTGTGTTTTCATGGAGCCCCCAAATGCTGCTGCCCTGGTCCCTGTCCTTTCCTGGTTCTCCCAGCATTGTTTGCTTTTGTTCTTCATTTGATTGAGTCTGCCACACCTGTGTGACTCAGCCCACCGGACCTGGGAAGACTGTGACCTTTGTCTTCTGGCCCCTTTCCTCTCCTAGGAGCACCTGTCTGTTGAAGACTTTACTAAGGTTTTGGGAATGACTCCAGCTGCCTTCTCCGCTCTGCCTTGATAGAAGCAACAAAACCTCGAGAAAGAAAAGGGACTATTTTAAGAAGAGTAGTTGTGGTTGTAAAGCGGCACCCTACCCTGCTTTCAAGGTTTTGTTATTACTGGCTTTAGTCCTATGCCAATCGAAGAGAACATTCCCAGCTGCCCCTGCGAGGAGGCAGCGTGCAGTAACGCCACTTTTCTTTAGCAATTTACCCTCCTTCAGAAAGATGCCACCTCCCCAGGGAGCCTGTGACCCGGAGGGGCTGGGTTCTTTATCTCCTGGACCACTGCATCATTTGTAGCCATCTTGTTCTAGAGCCTCCCCTCCTTAGATGGGCAGCTCAGCACTCCCACGAGAGTTCCGAGGCACTGCCCCAGTTTTTCTTCATCTCCAGCAGGTGGGCGGAAGTCCTGTGCGATCTTACATCTTTCCACAGCACTGGCCTCTCTGCATTTCCTCTTTACCTTACACAGGTGCTAAGTTAAAGAGGGCCTGTGCTTTGGAGAGCTGAAGGGCCTGGATTACTTCCTGGGTTACACGGTTCTCACTGAACAGCACATGCACTGGTCCCAGGCCTGAGGCCTGCAGCAAAGCATGAAATACAATGCTATGGTTTCTCAGCCCCTACCCCACTCTAACAAGGCAGAGGTGGTGTTATCAGAAGCCTCTGTGAAGCTGCCCAGGCTCCTGAGGAGAAAACCACAGGAACTCAGTGGTGACAACCCCCTAACACCAGGCACTGCATGGGAGCCCAGACCGGCAACCCACCACAGTGGCGCCCATGGCTTTACACTGGTGTTGAAGGGGTCCACGCTAGTGTGTCCTTGCTAGAAGTTAACAGTCAGACCAGTGGCAGGTTAATAAAGGCTTTAATTTCACACCAAAAAAACCTCTGTATAATTTAAAAAGGACAAAAAGAAAAACCATGAAGGATCCAGAGGAACAGTTCTGCTAAAACACAGATAAAAGTGCTGCTCCATATAAAATAACAGCAAAAAATCAGGATAAAGTCACTATAAACACAAAGAAAAAAAAATGAAACAAAATAAACACACCTTACAAATGCTGTGGCCAAGGCTGCTAACCACCCAGGGAGTAACTGAGGGCAAGCACAGGAACCTCACTTTCTGCTTTTCTCTCCCAAGGAGGTGGACAGAAACCAATGCAGAGCCAGGAAAGCCGAAGTGGGAGGAGGCCCTCAGAGGGAGGGGACTCTGAGGACAGGTTTGCACAGCCACGCATGAGCTTTGAGCTGTTTCTGAAACAGACCACTTTAGCTGACTGCTCTTCTTTGTTCTGGCATGGGACCCCATGACCTTAACTTCTTATGCCAGTGGGCACACCTATACTTTTAACTCCTATGCTTAGTTCAATGTCACTAAAATCAAACACCTTTTTTTGGAGACAATGTCTTGCTATGTAGTTCATTCTAGTCTGTAGTGCAGGTTGGCCTTGAACTCATAGCAAGCCTCCTGCCTCAGCCTCCCAGGTGTGTGCCACTACGCCTGGCCACTAAATGCCTATTCATACAGGCACACTCTACTTAAAACTTCAAAACCTCACACACATCACATACATGGAAATGAAACAATTTACTAGTTGTGTATAAGAGACTGCCTTAAGTCTAGTGGTCAAAGCATGCCATAAAGAAATCCATGATTGTGGTGAAACACAGAAAGTAATTCTGCCACAGAACTCTCAAAGCTTAACAAACTATAGTTTTCCAATAAACTATATTTTTCCAGATGTTACTAAGATGTATCAATAGGGACAAAAGAATCTTGAAGTAATGCATCAGAAAGATACAGGGCAGAGATCTATTAGTTTCTGTACATACTTGCAAGAGACAGTTACCAGATGTAGCAAGATGGGGAGGAAAAGTTCACCACCGCCTTATCAGGACATTTAGGAGACATCCACGTGTTCCCCAGATTTAAAGCAAAAATCCACCTCCATAGTCAATGAAATCAAACAGGAAGAAAGGCTGGGAAACCAAGGTAAACATTTTCAGAGGACTGAGAAGAGGGAGGGTAACGTTATTTGTTTCAATATACCCTCTTCAGATCACAGATCAGTTTTTCTTTGCCTCTTTAACTGCAATATGGGAGAATAAACTTAGATTTTTTGTTTCTGTAGATGTTCTAAATCATAAAGCTTCTCAGATGATTTTGTACTTGATCAAACAGAAAAAGATGTGTTTAATATGTGCACTTGGAATTAATGAACTGATTTGTAGTATAACTGCGTATTTTCTAAAATGTAAACACATTTACATTTGTTATATTTGCTGCTGAGCTATTTAAGTTAGGCTCTGAATTAACAGAGCACAGCAAGTAAACAGCTTTGGAATCAAAAATACAAATAGAAGATCAACTCATGGATTTGCTCATTTTATTCTGCTGAGATAAAACCTGTGAGTGCGCACATACATATAAATATATTTCTACAGAAGTTATCTTCTCGCAGGCCTACAGTCTTGGCTCTTAAAACAGCAACATCTGTCTACATGAGACTTTCTGATTCCATAATATTAGGGAACAGAAATCAACAAGCTTGAGTTTATTAATTTATTTTTTTCTTCCAAAAACTTCAACTAAGATCAAAAGGTTGTGTCCAAAACTAATTGCTAACACATTCCAATTCAAAGTCATTTGAAGTAATGTACCACATATTTGGTATGTTCAACAGGTTCATTATTGTGCAGACTTCCTGGAACTGTAAAACCACTCGGTTCCCATCTAACTTGGCCCCTCCTGGCCCCAACCTGCTAACTGACCCAAGCCCCAAATACGGCAAACTGATCACACTGGTGCAAAAAATATATATATATATTATCTATTTATAATTTAAAAATATATACAGTCAGCTCAAAAAAGAAAACCCCCAAACCCAACCCCTATCAATATAGTCTAGCTGAAACCTCCATTTACAGTAGAGTAAGTTAAAGGAAGGAAGGAAGAAGGGAAGGGAAGATTCACAAGGCCACAACGAAGGACAGAGAATAAAATTCAAGTCCCAAATTTGCAAGGAGGAGCACTGAGGTAACTCATATATTTTAGTAACCTATTTTCAACAAGTCCTGCCCAGGACATAAAGGTCAAACCAAATCAGACTTCTGTGCCAAGTGTCCTTCCACTCTATCCACGCATGTGAGCAACTGCACCGAGCTGCTTGGGAGGCCGCGTCACCTTACCGTGTTACTCTGCTTTTCTCTCTGTCTCAATGCAAACCTCACTTCACATTGTTCCCTATCATTTTTAACAGCTCAGAGCTCTCAAATGCAGAGAGGGAACAGAGTAACTAAAGAATTTAATCACTACTTCACTTATTTACGAGAAAAACTGTTATTTGAAGACAAACCTCCTGGTAGATAACAAAAATTTTAAAAACTTAAAAAAAAAAAACAATTATTTTCCTCTGCTTTAAACTACTCTGCATAACTACCACTGTATCATTCTGGACACTCACTATGGTCATGTGTGCTGGTGGATGGCAGAAGACAAAGTGTTTATCAGTAGTTAAGCGAAAGTGCTGAGGCCATTTACCACCCAAAACCCCAAAACTTGAGGTGACCTTGTCAGGACGCAACCAAGCTTCCAAAGGGGGTGCTGGTGCTCTGAAGGCAGCCTGTCAGGAAACATGCCGCATCTTCGTGATGAGTCTTAACACGTTTTCTCCCTCTAAAAACCTGATGTCTTGTCCCTACCTCAGAACTGTAGAATAATTTTCTTGTCTATAATAAAAGAAAATGAAACTTTCATCCTGCTAAATATAACTCTGTGCGACCCTGAGCCCAGAACTCCGCCCTCACACCCACCCTTCCCTGGGCCTTTCAGCTGGGGGTTAAGACAGCACTGGATCCTGCATCCCCACTCAGCCTCGCCTCACAGCACCAAGAAAGACAATATTGTGCACCTTTGTATCTGTTAGTTCGTGGGATTACTCAACCAGTCACATTTTAATTCTTGCCCTGTTTTAAGGGTATATCTGTACAGTAAATAATTATGCTCCAGGTTTTCCCGACAGCTCATGTCCTTCATCTCACATGTGCGGCAGGATTCTGGCTTTAGTGGTCCAGGGCTGGAGCTGTAATACAGTAGACATCTCCTGACCACTAGCTCTGCCGAGGCAGAGACACCAGTGTTTCTCCTTCTCCCTAAACATCCTACAGGGTAGGGTCATGCCTACTCCATGGTACAGAATGATCCAGAAGAAAAGAAAAGGTTCTAACTTCACCATCACAACAATATAGATGAACAGGATAAACAAAGTGTATGAAAGAATCTCTTCAGAGAAAAACGTGAGGTGTACAATGAATACCGAAAATATGACTGTAACACATTCCAAAGCACCAACGCTTCATTACATGGGAACCGCATGTAAACAGTACAGGCACGACAGATTTGTGAAACTTAAAAGCTCGTCATTCAACAGAAATGCCTCTTGCAAGGAGGACAAATTGTCATTAGTGTAACACAGAGGGCTGGCTTTCCAGTGAATTGTACTCGTAAGAAACACAAAGGACAGATTTAAATGAAGCTATTCAAGGAACATAAAAACAAATAGCTAACTGATTTCTGTATTTTCACATATTTTTTAGGTGGACTCTCTGACACTTTTATTTCTTCTCCAAACTTCCTTGCTGTTGGATTTTTCTTTTTTGGTTTTCTTGAAGACAGGGTCTCGCTATGTAGTTCGGGCTGGCCTTGAACTCACTATGTAGCCCAGGCTGGCCTCAAAATCACAGCAATCCTCCTACCTCAGCCTCCTGAGTGCTGGGATTACAGTCGTGCAATGCCATACCTGGCTTGCAGTTACTTTTGTGCAGGCATATTCCTGTAGTTCCCCTGAACTCATTAAGGCTCCATTCACCCTGCATGTATCTGTACATATATATATATATATATATATATATATATATATATATATATATTTACAACATGTACTCCTAAGACAAAACAAAGTACCACTCTTGTAGGGGAAAAAGAGGATCATCAGCTACAGATGAGACCAAGGTGTCCATAAAGTAGCATGGAGTATTCCACATAACTGCAAATTTTGTCTTTTGGTTTGGCCCTGAGCTGTTTGTTTGTTGCTCCCGCATCAGGTAGAATTCCAGATTCCCCTGGTCAGAGGAAAGATGACATCAGTGGCAGTGAGAGAGAAAATGCAGTGCGCACTGCCAACCCAGACTTCCTCACGAGGTCGGTTGGGCAGTCTTCCCTGTTTCCATGCTGAGTGCCTGAGAGTTCTTTTCTGTTTCTAGCAGCTCATCAAAGATCTCCCTTAAAATAAAACAAAACAAAAAAACCAGGAAGGTCAGTAAGTAGAACCAAAGCTCACACAGAAGAAAAAAGCAACAGGAAAGGGATACTGATTGTGTGGGGTAGCACACAATCCCACTGTGGGCCTACATGTTACTAAGTAAGCACCTCACTTCACCCATCACCATTTTAAACCCCTGCATAGTAATTTTTGAGAATGAGGTGACCTGGCAATGCTATGCAGCCAGCCATGGTGGTGCATGCCCGTTATCCCAGTATATGGGATGCTGAGGCAGGATTGCTGTGAGTTCAAGGTCAATTTCCACTACATAGCAACAACCTGACTCAAAAAAAACAAAACAAAAAAAAAACCCAAAGCTATGTAGTTCCCATTCGTATCAGTCAGATCTGAACTAGAAGTCAAAGGGCAAACTGGGTGTGGTGACATGTATCTGGTGCCTGTAATCTCAATGTGTGGGAGGTTGAGAGCTGAGGCAGGAGGATCACTGTGAGCTGAAGGCCAGACTGGGCTACCAAATGGTTTAAGACCAGCCTGAACTATATGGCAAGACTCTGTCTCAAAAAAAAAAAATAAATAAAAGTGTAAGGCCATAAAAGTTTACGAGAAAGCATCTTCTATCATAAAACAGTATTAAATTCTGTACCTACATAATATTGTGCAATGAACAGGTTTCTTTTTGGGTGTTCAATATAGTTAATATAGTTAATATAGTTAATGTTGAGTTGAGAGAGAAAATCTTCTAGACGTACAAGGAAATATCAAGTGACAGAATCCTTAAGCAAAAACAATAAAAACCAAAAATTGTCAACTAATCAAGTAATGTGGGAACATTTTATTCTTGAAGAAGAATTGAGGTAACTTTTAGTCAGTTCCTTGGTAGCAGGCAGTTTCTTACTTGTGCATATAAAAGAAGATGTAACCACTCCGATCTCGGTCAGTCTGCACCACAGTCTCTTGGATTTTAGATACTTCCAGATCATTGTAAGTAAACCACGCCTGCTTCTTAATGTCATACACATCACTAATGTAGTGACCTGCAATGAGCATTATACCTGTTAACACACTTCACATTGGGAGCGATCAAGGAGAAGCTTTTAGTTTTTCTTGATGCATTCAGCTTATACCTCACAAAACCAGGCAAAGAACACAGAAGAGGGGCAAATAACAATGGCCATTTACCTGAAGAAGAGGTGCTGCCAATGTGACTGACCACACTGATGAGCCGATAGGAATGAGGGAGAGTTCCTGTCTGCAAAACAAAAGTGGATATGACTTCTCATTTGAATGCAAGGAAAACACTGGACTTGAATTTATTATCAAAGCTGATACAGCTAAGCACCAGTGTGGGTTTATTTTTTATTTATTTATTTATTTATTTATTTAGAGCAAAACAGGGTAATGTCTGTTGAGGGATATAAGAGAAAAAATACGAGAGAGAGAAGAGGAAGAAAAAATAGAGAAGATGTGTCCTTCATGCAAAACAGGCTGCTGGTTTAGTCAAGACTCAAAAATGAAATCTAGTTATTAGTATTTGATTCAAGAATTCACTTCCAACTAAGAATTTATTCTAATGAAATAATTAAAAAGAAGCTATATACTAAATTATTCACACAGCATTATCTATAATAATGAAAAATTGGGTCTAACAATACACCCAGTAATAGTTGATGGGCTGAATGGAATATCAATCAGTATTATTCAATTAAAAAAAAATAAAAATTGCTCTGCCAGACATGGAGAGGCATGCCTGAACTACACAGTGAAACCCTGTCTCAAAAAACCAAAAAAATAAAAAATTCCTGCCATGTGGTGGCTTATGTCTATAATCCTAGCACTCGGGAAATTGAGGCAGGAGAATCATTGTGAGTTCAAGGCCAGCCTGAACTGTATAACAAAACCCTGTCTCAAAAAGACCAAAACAAAACACCTATGCTGACATTTAGGTACTGGACAACAAAATGAAAAAAGCTGTGAATGTTCACATTTTATATGTTCCAAATGTTAGTTCCCAGTAAAAATGAAAACTGCTATTCATGTGCTGCAGGCAGTCCTGTAAGATGCAAATATGTGATGGAATATGGCTATGTATAAATCAAGTTGTTCAAATGTTCATAACTTCTGGTGTAGTAAATTATTTCTGGAGATTTATAGAATATCTAAAATATAGAAAATACATTACGAAAGATGGGAAATTTAAATGTTAAAAATAAATAGTACATTCATGTGAGTATAGAGTATAACCAACAAGCACAATAAATAAAATCTTTAAGTTATATCATGACTAACAGCTTGAAAGAAACTAAGGACAGACTATCTGAACTGGAGGGCAGACTTGTAATATGGGAGAATGAAATGAAAAACTTCTTAAAAATAACAAAGAAACAAACAGCAATAATACAAAGACAAGAAGATGATAGGAGGATCCATAACTTAAGAATTAAGAACATAAAAGAAGAAGTAGGGACACAAACAAGTGACAAAAGCTACTCACAGAAATAATCCAGGAGAATTTTCCTAATTTAGCAAAAGGTAAAGATACTCAGATGTATGAGGCATACAGGACCCCAGCTACCTACAACCCAAACAGAGCAACACCCAGGCATATAATAATAAAAATTCCAGAAATTCAATACAAGAACAGAATATTAAAAGCTGTCAGAGACAAGAAACAGACCACTTACAAGGGAACACCCATCAGAATTACAGCAGATTTCTCTGCACAAACCATCAAATCACGAAGAGCGTGGGGGGAAATAATTCAAGCTTTGAAAGATAATAATCTCCAGCCAAGATTGAGATATCCTGCACAACTGTCCCTGGAAATTGATGGAAAAACAAGGTGCTTCCAGGATAAAGAGGAACTGGGGGAATTTGCAACCACCAATTCAACTCTACAGAGAGTATTGCAGGATATTCTAAAAAAAGAAAAATACAAAGAATCCAGAAATAGTGGCAGGGAGGCCACAACGAATGGAGCAGAGAACAAAATGAAGAAGACAAACTGACAGCTACTGACAGAAAAAGAGCTCAACAGAAATGAGGCAGAGAAGATTGGATGATAGGAACAGCTATTTTGGAGAAAATGACATCTTAATAGGTAATACTGATTTAGTATCATCTTGTTTTGAAGTCTCATCTAGCTTTTGTTCTTCTGTCTCCAATGGTCTAAATAGGTTGTATCTTATTGGATTTTATTATGTACGATAGTATAAGCAAAAACCTTTTAAAGACAAGGAGAATATACAGAAACCATTGTTCATTTTCTGTTAGTCGATTCTAAATACTCTGTAATGCTGTCATTCTCTTAAATGGTTTTACATTGTTTTGATATACTTAATGCTACAGTATACGACGTTGTACTCAAGGATTTCAAGGAAAGAGACAATATGGTAACTACTTTTAGGTCAGGATTATCTGGTGGTGAAACACTATTCTGCTTAAATGGTTATGTTTTGATCTGCGCTGTTTCGCTGTTATGCCCTCTTTTATCTCAATCTCCACTCCATTATTTACTTTTTTATTTTTATCCTTTTAATTAAAGGAAAAAAAATAGCAGGATATATTATAGTAACCCAGTTTGACTTTCCATTATCTCGATTTAAAGCCCTCATATTACTCTCACCATCTTGTTTTTGACTGATGTTCCCCTATTCTGTTTTGCTGGATAGTATCAGGTTCGAAAGTTTAGGCATCAGCTGTGAAGATAATGAGATTCATTATAACGCCCATTCTCGTTGACTTTTATCTACTTTTGAAGACCTACAATGTCTCCAATGTTTTGGTTTTGTCGGTTTTATTCTTTACTGTTTTGTTCAATTGTATTATAACTAATGATATAGGCAATTCTATTAGAGATAGCAGGAGGCATTATGGTATCCATTGTTGATCACCTTGTATTATGTTTTTATATTATCTATTATGTCCACCCTTTTGACTTGACCGATTCTGTTCTGTTATGTCACATTTGGTTTTACTCTCTTCCAAAAAAGTAATAAGAACCGTGGAAGCAATGAAACCCAAAATGTGTAATAGTCGTTGTACAAAAGAGAGGAAAAGAAAGTGCTCTAAACTATATAACTGCATGTATATTCAAGTGTATAAGATAGAAAATGATATCACAGAGTTTTATTGGATCATTGAACAGAACTGTTTGCAGTATCATTGTTGGAATGTCCACTTTACAAGCTTTAATTTTGTGACTTGAACAATTATTTCTAAGATGACAATATGTAATCCATTAACTAGTGATTTCCTACTGTTTATTTTTTTTCTGTAAATCTGTATAACTTGTACACTTTCTCTGCTTTTTTTTTTCTTTTCTCCTTAAATAAAATTAAAAAAAAAAAAAAAAGTTATACCATGACATTTTTAAGCACACAGAGTTGGGCGTTACAAAAAGTGTATCTCAACAGCTGTGTCACCACACTAGCCTACGGCAGTGAATTCTGAGTAAAATCTGTAGGAATCCAGGTGTGGTGAAGCTTGCCTGTAATCCCATCATTTGAGAGGCGGAAGCAGGAGAAGCATGGCTGGCTGTGCATTCAAAACCAGCCTGGATTGCACAATGATACCCTCTGTCAAAAGCACTACCACCACAGGGGGTGGATGTGGTGGTGCATGTCTATAATCCCAGCACTGGAGAGGCTAAGACAACAGGATCACTATGATATTGAGGCCAGCGTGGGCTACAAAGTGAGTTCAAGGTCAGCCTGAACTGCATAGTGAAACCCTGTCTCAAAAACAAAACAAAACCCCAAAAATTATTTAAGGAAAGAGAAGGGTAACAAAAGGACTAATGTGTGCTCACTACATAAACACAGTTTTCACTATTTAATTACACAGAGCGTACAGTACTTGGTGGGACTAAAGGTGGTTTATTATGCACTGTCTTTCCTCATATGCATACTCAGGTCTTGTCTAAGCTGGACACAGGACGGTCAGGACATATTTCTATTTTGTTCTGAATCTTATAGGTAGAGAATAAAGAGTAAAGGAGAAGAGACAATGAAGACTGCTTGACGGCTGCTCAGAGGGCAGACATGAACCTTTGGTGGACAGCAGCCCGGCTCTTCCCAGGTACAAGGCAGAAGGAGCTCTGATGACCTGACCAGCTCTGCTCAGGGATAAAACATTACCTCTGCATTTCTTTTCAGTTCCTCAGCTTCAGCTTCTGTGTATTCCATATCAAAAATGTCCTCATTTCCAGAATCTTCATCTGAGCCCAACGCATCCAGAAAAGAGTTGTTAAACTCTGAAGAAAGAAACACGAAATTTTGTAAAAGATGTGAGTAGGGAGATAAAGTAGCTTGAGGTATACATTTTATCACCCTAAGAAAACATGAACAGTATCACAGTTCAAATCACTCAGTTCACTCTGGGGAATAACGGCAGACATGAAACAAGTTAAAATACTGTTCCCTTTTCTTTTACACATATTTACAGGACAAAGGGGTCTTAACCTCCTGAGAAGGGAATAAAACTAGAAAAGAATATATAATTTAACAGATAATCCTAGTTCACCAAATTCTGTATCATAGAAATAGTACATAAATGTGAAGTACTGGTGAATTACAGGTGGGTGCCACCTTGTCCAGTACTATGCCCTCTTTCTTAAGCAACCTACTAGATGATGTTTTTCACCAAAATACAAGCATACAAGGAAAGAGAAGGAATGAGATCCAGGAAACGAGAGGCTCACATAAAGGAGAGTCAGAAGGACTCTCCTGCCTCAGGAGAAGGCAGGAGACCGGGAGTAGACGGAAGCAGAGGACTATGAGGCAGACCGGATCACTGTGACTACAGATACCTGACACCAGCCCACTACCTTGCACCCTGAAGACAGAATGCTTGCTTGCGCCTAGCTTGGACCCTTAGTTGTGACTGTTTCAACAACACACCCCTGGGGTTCTCAATCTCCCCTTCATCCCCTGCTGATGGGACCTGTGACTTATACTATGGAAGTGAGAGCTGGTGAATGGCCACAGCGGTGTTAGAAATACAAAGGGAAGCCACAGCCTCATCTCTGTCACTGTGTATCACTGCGGCCCCCCAGGACCTGCCCACATATTAGCTCTGCCCAATGCCAGGACCATGTGAACCTAATGCTACTTGCCACTCTGCCCAACGACCTCCCCAGAGCGAGCACTGGGAAATTCAAAGGAAAGCTGAAGCCATATCCTGTTCTCTTAGGAGTCCTACCAGTGGTGATATTAGTCATTCAATGGACAGGCAGATTGCTTGGGCCATTGCACTGGGCCATATCCCCAGCACTTCTGTATTTTTAATTTGGTCTCATTAAGTCACTAAGTTGCTCAGGTTGTGCTCAAACCTGTGGTCTTCCTGTGTCAGTCTCCTAAAATGCTGCAATTACAGATGTGTGTACCATTAGTCCCTGCTCTGTTTGTTTTCAAATTGTTCAGGAATATGCATACAGATACTAAAACCATAAAAAAGAGCAGGTAAATATAGATGTTAAGAACAGTTGCTTTCTCTCAGAGGAATAGAAAAGAAAAGACACACAAGTAGCTGTTTTTGAGAAAGGGCATTGCTTTTGTAGTCCAGGCTAGCCTCAAACTCAGGATTCTCCTGCCTCAGCCTCCTCAGTACCAGGATTATAGGTGTGTGCCACCATGCCTTGCTACAGGTGACTTTTGAGGGTATACTTCTGTACCTGGAAGGAGTTTAAATATGTTATTGTTTAAAAACATTTTACATACTCATCTATGTGTACTCATTTTACCACTTAAAAATTTAATTAAAATAATCTCCATACCTTGAAGACTCAATTCTGTAGCTCTTTTGAGGTCATCATCTTCTTTCTGTTCCCAGGCTTCCTAAAGGGACAAGAATAAAACAAAGGTATTTAAAGAGGTATTAGAATATTTGATGATACTATTTAACGAAAAGTTTATGATCCTTTTACTCAACCTCCCAGAGTGCTGGGATCACAAGCATGTACCATGATGGGGCTTGAAATTCTTTCTTCCTTATTTTGTTTTTGAGACAGGGTCTTGCAATGATGTAATATGATTATGATTTAATTTCCTTTCTTATACACATAAAATGCCTGAGCCAGGCAGGGACAGTGGTACATGCTTATAATCTCAGCTCTCTGGGAGGCTGAGGAAGGAGGATTCGAGTTTGAGCTCAGTACAAGAATTTTAGCAAGATCCTTCACCCTACCTACTCCCACCAAAAGCACTGGAGATCCAGCTCAGTGCAAAGCCCTACCCCCTAAAAAGCCCCACACTCAGCACGACACATAGTAAACGCACAGCAAACTGTTGTCTTCCTTTCCCAGACTGACATTATGAGCCAATTTCCATGGCATATATACATACATTTTTTGAGACAGAGTCTTACTATGTAGTTTTTAGGCTTGCCTTGAATTCACTATGGAGCCCAGGCTGGCCTCAATCCTGCCTGATCCTCCTGCCTCAGCTTTACGAGTGCTGGGATTATACTTGGCTCCATGTACAAATATTCCCACTGTAGCCAATGTCAAGCTACATCCATGACAGAGTGTACACCTGGGAAGAGACATACCCAACGAGATCTCCTGAGCTGATAATGAGCTATCTCTAGCAAACCGCTTATTTGTCTGTGTGTCTGTGACAGAGAGGTAAAAACTCTTTCTTTTTCTTTTTTTGGTACCGGGGATTAGACCATTGCCATACTAAAAGACATTCTGTTGTATTTAGATTTTCAAAACAAGAAAATCTATGAAGGTACCTATTTCAAATCCAAAATAAGCTCCAAATACTTTTTGGAGGGTAGTTCAGTAACTTACTGTGCATGCCAGGGACATAGTTTAGCTGCACAGTGCCTGCCTGGCAAGTACAAGGTCAGGAGTTCAATTTCCAGTACAAAAATAAAATAAAACAAAACAAAAAACAAGCAAACTAAAAAAAAACCTTATTGCATATAAATCATCTAGAACGATGTCTGACACATAATAAATGCTCAACAAATGCCATTTATTATTATACTATTTCTTGGGAAAGCCATATACAGAAAATAGCACTAGCAAATGTCTTACTTGCAGCCTGGCATGGTGGGGCTGTAATTCCAGCACTGGAGGATAGTTGCAAGTTTAAGACCATCCTGCGTTATAAAGTGAGCTCCAGGTCGGCCTGAATTTGAGACAGTGAGACGCTGTCTCAAAAAGACAAAACAAACAAAAAAACGAAAAACCCCAAATCCTCTTACTTGCTCCTGCAGGCTCTGGGCCAATGCTTGCTGAAGCTCTTGTTCTTCCCTTTCAGGCTCCATATCATACTGTTGGAGCCAATCAATCTCTCCCTGAGATCCTTCTGGAGTTTTGTTTTCCTTATTCTCATCACAGTCTTTTGCTATCTCAGTAAAACTGGCAGGATCTGAGGAAAGAAATGTGATGTTATTTTGGAAATTTGTCTCCCATAAATTGAGATTTCAGGATGCGAGTGCTATCTGCTGTTGACAGTAACTTAGCAAAACCCCATCTAAGGGTGGGTACATACAATTTCATCTTACTACATCTATATCGTGCTTTCCCAACCCGAGCACTACTGACAACTGGGGTGGGACAGTGGTTTTCAGGGTGGGGGCAGGAAGCAGTCTGCCCAGCTACAGAACTGTAGAATTTCAGCAGCGTCCCTGCTCTCTTCCTCCTAGATGCTGTTAGCGCTCATCTTCTCCAGCTGTGACTGCCACAGATGAAAGTCACTGACACATGGTCCCCTACAGGAGGGGTGGGACCAATCCTTGGTTGAGAACCACTAATATATGGCAGTGGTCTGAAACCTGAACCGATCAGCAGGACACTGTGACTAAGGATGGGGAAGCACAAACACCTAATACTCCGAGGTCAGTATTACACGACCAGGTTCTAGAAACAGAGTATTGTTAGGGTAAACGAAGGGTGAAGCTACAATCACTACTACACTGTCTGCCATAAGAGTGTTTATTTTCACATTAATAAATTAACGAGGGCTGGCAATGTAATTCAGTGGTATAAGCATGTGCTTAGCATGCATGAGGCCTTGGGGTTCAATCCTCAGCACCCCTCAATACCTACAAAATCAAACAAACAAGTCTTGCATATATTCTCAATCAAAACAGCTAGGTAAAAAATAATAAATGATATAGAAAGCTATCACAGTACGTATGTTTAAAATCATCCAGGGAGGTGAGAAAAATATTTCATCTCCTTTTTCTTTTTGTTCCTTCTGTATCTCTAGGCTATGGCCAGCTGGGAAAGTAAAAACTCTCACTGGGTTAAGGCAAGTCACATAAAAAAAATTTAACTAGTCAGTGATAATTATCTTTATGCATTCATCTTATGAAACTATTTATAAGTCAGTATATATGCTCTTTAATTGTCCTAATTCTGCATTTCATATGTCTCACTTGCTGTTGCTTTCTCTCACTGAAAATAGGGTCTCACTGAGCAGTGCTGGCCAGGCTTCTTAAACTCATGAACTTGCCCCAGGCTCCCAGGCTGGGATTACAGGCGTGGGCCACCACACCCCGCTAAAAACAGGTACTTTATTTTACTGCACAGGTAACTCTGCAGCTTATAGCATTTTAATGTTTTTGTCTTTTTTGAGACAGGGTCTCGATATACAGTTCACATTGGCCTTGAGTTTACTTCGTAGCCCAAGCTGGTCTCAAATTTCCAACTATCCTCCTCCCTCTGCCTCCTTAGTGCTGAGATTATAGGGGTGCACCAACAGGCATTTTGGTTTTACACTAAAAAAACTATAGCTAGTTATTTTTGAATTGTACTGAATTACTAAGTGAATATTTATTAGAAGAGAGGACAACAATGAATTTACTAGGTATGCAAGGGTCCCCTCTTTGTTTCCGTGGCATTACTGGGAACTGAACCTATGGCTTTGCTCATGCTAGGCAAGTGTTCTATCACTTGGCTATATCCCTAGCCACTTTTTAAAACAAATTTTATTTTAGACAGGTTCCTTAAAAGTTGCCCAGGCTAGTCTCAAACTTGCAATCCTCCTGCCTCAGTCTCCAGAGAAGCTGGGAGGACACGCTAAGGTAACATTCTTATGCTGAATGTATCATTTACTGCTTCCCCAGCTGAACTGAAACCTCTCCTTTTCCCATATCTTTTACTTCAGTGATGAGACGACTGTCCACAATTGTTTATTTTTGGGGGAAGACGGAAACCTGAGAATCATTTTTTCTTTTTGTTTTTCCTGGTACTGGGTGACTGAACTTAGGGCCTTCGCAGTGAGCTACATTCCTAGTACTTTTTAATTCTGAGACAGGTTCTTGCTATGTAGTGTAGGCTGGCCCTGAACTCATAGTAATCCTCTTGCTTCAACTTCCTGAGTGGTAGGATTACACGTGTGTGGCACCATGCCCAGTGTGAGTCAGAATCTTGCTAAACTGCCCAGGCTGGACTTGAATCTGTAATCTTTCTGCCTCCTAGAGTACAGGGGTTATAGCTGTGTGTCACCACACTTGATTTCTAGGGATCATTTTTCTTTCTCATGCTCATCTTCCCCTTTACCTCAGGTAAACCATTATTCCCTAACTAAATCCTGAATCCATCAACTTTTACTTCTAAGTCAAAAATCTTGGCTTGTTCGATCCCTGGTACCGATTAAAAAAAAAAAAAATGAAAACAAACAAACAAAATCTTGGCTTACAGGACCATTATCTTTTGGTCTAAACTTCACAGTAACCTGCTAACAGATCTTACAAAATTACCCTGGCTGGGGATGGTCCTTAACTGGTAGCGTGTCTGCTTACATAAGAGGTCCCAGGTTTGATTCACAGCACTACAAAACAAAACATCAAAACTAAAAAAAAAGTAGAAAGAGTATCTTTGGGTTTCTGTTACACCAAGAGGTTAAAGAAATAGGTACTGTAATAATGGTCTACATCTAACTGAGGAAGGTGGCGCTTAAGAAGAGAATCCATAGTAAACAAGGACATATAGTGCTTTTAAACAAACTTGCTCTCCCTAAGGCTAGTAGGGTTTTTTTTTGGCGGGGGATGGATATTTATTTTTCAAATTTTTTTTTACAAATTCATTTTATTCCAAAGATTTTAAAGAAAGAAAGAAGAAGGAAGAAGAGAAGGAAGAAGAGGAAGAGGAGGAAGAAGGAAGAAGAAGAAAGAAAGAAAGAAACAAAGAAAGAAAGAAACAAAGAAAGAAAGAAAGAGAAAGACAGGAAGAAAACTACAACAAAATTTCAAGCAGGGGCAACAATGGTGCATACATTGCACATTGTCATCCTCAAATCATTCACCCAGAGCACAAGACATCTGCATTCAACTGAACAATACCAAGCTGGTGAATTTTTAAAGATTTATTATTAATAGTGATTTTGATAACCTCAAATGATCTCATCCATTGGAATAATCAAGAACTAACTCTTCATGACAATTAAGTTTCTCAGTTCAGTTTAGGGAGTTGTAGCACTAAGAAAAAAAAATCAGAAAGAGACAAAAGCACTAATATTGCCAATGATGTAACAGGCAGTGATTATAAATTTAGTAAGAGAAAGGGAAAGCATAAATGCTGACATCGAGACAGAAAAAGCTAATTCTTGTATTAAAAACAACAATCAGCCTTTTTTGCAACCAGTTAAATTGAATATATACTTATTCTTTTTTCTTCTTTTCTTTTGGTCTTTTTTCTTCTTTTCTTTTGGACAGGGTCTCACTATGGCCTTGAGCTCACTTTGTGGCCGAGGCTGGTCTCAAACTTGCAATGATCCTCCTACCTCAGCCTCCTGAGTGCTGGGATTAAAGGAGTGTGACATCACACCTGGCTAATACTTACTCTTATTTTCCTTCCATTATAAAAGAGCTTAAAATTGAAGCTCTGACTCTGCAATCTAGAAAATAATTTTGTGATACTGAATTATTCTTTACATTTCCAAAATCCCAGGATGGATTAGTTAGAAGCCATCTGTCACCCTACAGCTTCAGAACACAATTGTTTTAACATTCGTTCATTTCATTCAACTTACCTGGCTCTGTGACTGTTCTGGGCTTCTCAGCTTCCACAGGGTCTGAATTTTCAGACATTTCTTGAATATCATCATCTGCAAATCCTGTATCTGGGCTGCTGGTTGGTTTATCATCTTCATGACAGAGGGTTGGGGAAGCTTCTCTCTTACTGATCTCTAAGACAGCTGCTAGAAGCTCTTCTTCATTCATTCTGTCAAATCCCGAGTTTTCCAATTCAGACTTATCAGGCTCAATTCTGCGTAATTTTGAATCCTGAAGAAGAGAGCTACTTGTAGAGGAAACTAGAATGTGTACAAATACAGCAATCTTTTTTTTCTTTTACACTTTTATTTTTATTAGTGCATGTTTGCAGCACAGAATGATTCTATATATCATGGGGAGTTGGTACCTATATGTAACACTTCTTAATTCTTGTTACATCCACTTTCCCTACTGCCTCCTTTCCTCCATCTCTTGGTCCCTTTTCTACTTGTGAAAGATCTCTCTTTCCTATTAACTAGACTTTAAAATGTGCTGCAACCCGTGCAGCAGTTGAGGTTTTTGGAGTGAAGGACCACGGGAGGATAAGAAAATAAAGAAGAGACAAAGCTGGGATCAGATGAAGCCCTTCCTCTCCAGATGGAAGGAAAGGAACCACCCCCTTTAGCAACATGATGTCAAGTGGTATTTCTCTGCCTAGCCATCCACTGCTTAGGTTGTCTAGGGTCTTGGTGTTTCTTTGACTAAAGCAGGTTTTTTCACAGTTTGCCTCAGCCCTGCACAGCTTCAACCTCTCCCAACACAAGCAGAAATTTTATTTCTAAAAATTTCTTTGGTCCTTTGGGTTATTTAACAAAAACAAGCAAGCAAATCTAATTTCTAAAGCAACAAATACATAAAAACACAACACTTCTGTATTTTCTGGCAGTATTGTAAATTGAACCTTTTGCACCTAGCTTCATTCCAAATCTTTTTTCCTTTTTTTGGTCTTTTTGGAACAGGGTCTCTCTATGCAGTTCAGGCTGGCCTTGAGCTCACTTTGTAGTCTAGGCTGGTCTCAAACTCACAATGATCCTCCTGTCTCAGCCTCTTGAGTGCTGGGATTACAGGTGTGTGCCACCATACCCAGCTTACATTCCCAATTTTAAAAAATTAAAAAAAAATTTTTTTTTAGACAGCCTTGGCTCAAACCTATGATTCTTCCTGCCTCCGCATCCAAGAGTGATGGACACTTTCATGCTTGGCTTGATGCTTTTCTTGATTATAAGAGGTGTTAAGCACGCATTTTGTAGAAATTTGGGAGATACGCTGCAATTGATAAAATCACTCTAAATAGATTACTCAGTGTAAGTATTTTTGTCCAGATACACATGGATTATGTTGTAAATATTCTGTTAATTACACCCACTGTTCCTTTTTTTTGTTGTTGTTGTTAATGGGGATTGAACTCATGACCTCACACTTGCCAGGCAGGCACTGTGCTGCTAAGCTATATCCCTCATTTCCTACTATTTTATTTACTTATTTTTGGTATCAGGGATCGAACTCAGAACCTTGTGCTTGCTGGGCAGGCACTGTACCGCTGAGCTATATCCCCTAACTATTCCATTTTAAATGTTGGCCGGTCTTAAATGAGACACGCAAAAACTGTACAAGATTATGTAAATTTTGAGGGGAGGGGGTCTTTTTGAGACAGGGTCTCACTATACAATTCAGGCTGGCCTTGAGCTCACTTTGTAGTCCAGGCTTATGTCAAAAGCACAGTGATCCTCCTGCCTCAGCCTTCTGAGTGCTGGAATTATAGGCATGTGCCACCATGCCCAGGTAGGATTATATAAACATTAAAAAGTTATACTGTAAATAATATTTCTTTTATTTCTGGAAGAATTTCTTTTTCTTTTCTTTTTTCCCCCCTTTTTTGAGACAGGGTGTCACCCTTGCAGTTTGGGCTGGCCTAGAACTCACTTTGTACCCCAGGTTGGCCATGAACTTGCAGCAATCCTCCTGCCTCAGCCTCCTGAGTGCTGGCTTTACAGGTATGTGCTATTTCTGGAAGAGGATCTAAATTTTAGTTCTCTTTCAAAGTGAGGAACCTCTAGTACTATCTTTAAAGTAAGGTAGGAAACAACTGAGAACACAATGTAATTACTGTAATTCTATTATATTATCAAAAGAGAAGTTTAAAACAAACAGTAACCAAATATGAGAGAAATACCTAGAAAAGCATTAATTACTGAAGTATTAAGGTAGATGATGATGTAGCCAAGTCTTCATGCTTACAATATAAATAAATAATCTGGTTGCTCTGTTGATGTAAAATGTTTACTACAGTTACCTTACTTAAACAGTTGTTATTAAAATTAAAATATAAAATTAGTATGCAGTTGGGTTTATAATTCCAGGATTTAGCAGGCTGGATAAAGTCGGAAGTTGGCCATGAATAAGGTCTAATATGTAAAAGTAGCTTAGAAGAGAAACAAAAAAAGTTTTACTCACAATTACATTAATTTCTTAAAAACAGACTGGTTCTTATAGCTGGAGAATTGCTTCTCAGCATTTTAGCTGAATCAAATGTAGTTAGAGAAAGCACATTCTTTAAAACTAGTATCAGGGCTGGGGTGGTACACGCCTATAATCCAGCACCCAGAAGGCTGAGGCAGGAGGATCAACTGAGAGTCTGAAGCCAAGTGGGCAATACAATGAGTTCAAGACTGAATTACACAACAAGACCCTGTTGAAAAAACCAAAATATAAAATTAGTATGTAGTTGGGTTTATAATTCCAGGATTTAGCAGGCTGGATAAAGTGGGAAGTTGGCCATGAATAAGACCAGTCTGAATTACATAAGGGAGACATTGTCTCAAAAAACCCAAACAGACACCTCATGGCAAGTATCTGAATGGAGCCACTGAGCTGCAGACCCGCCTTGTGTTATTCCTTCCATCTGCTGATACTAGATATAAAAGGTATTTTGGGGGACAGTAAGAGCGTCACAAATCTCCATCAGGTGCTCTGATGAAAAATTACTTACTTTCTCCAGGTCTTCCTGTTGCTGTTCACTGCTGGACATTTCACAAAGTCGCTGGCTAACAGCCACAGAGCGTTTTAGCTCATCCTCACTATCTGAATCAATACACAAAGATAAGGAGCTCTTCGATTTGAAGGTGAATTTCCTGTAATTAAAAAAATTCTGATTAACATTTGTCTTTGTTATTCTTCTGAAGTATAAATACCAAACAAAACACTTTTCCATTATGGAAAACTAGATTTTTAAAACAGATACATTAATCATTACCTTCGACCCACTCCTAAACAGCCATGCTCTGGAAACTGGTCACTCCTATGCTACTATATTATCATCAATAAACCAATCACAGCATATCTTTTTCTGTCAATGATCAAACCCCAACGAAGTTTGCTGTTGTTTTTATAAAGTATCGTACTGAATTCATGCAGACATTGCAATGATTAAATGTTTTTGACCAAAAAAGTGCATGAGAATTGCTTTTTGATCTTTTAAATTATGATCCATGTACTTTAAAATAACAGTAACATTTCACTTATCCAATTACCTTATCAAAGACTTCTAGCAGCCTTTGCCTTCCAGAATACAGAGGTGCCAAATAAGAAAAAAGGCTTCTAAGGAGGCAATTCTAAAGCCCATGCACTTAGAGGGACACTTTCTTATCCAAGAATAATTTATAAAATAGTATAGCAAGTTCATCAAGAAATGAGAGCTAAGAGAAAATAACCATAGAAAAGAACAAAAAAGAAGTAAAGACATTTTCTGTAAAGGCAAACTGAAATAATTAGAGATTCATCCAAGTATAGTGTCAAATTAATCCACAATGCCAATAACCAATACCCATAATTACATCACTAACATTATAAATCATATTCACTATATTTAAGATAAGGGATAGTGCAATATTTTAGAAAATTTTTCATTCAAAATGGCTAAAACTTTTTAAAGATAAATTCTTACAAAGGCAAACTTCAGTTACACAAAAATTAATCTATGTAGAATAGCAAATACTATTCTTACTTATACCAGTAAGGTGTTACTATGTTTTCTCAGTGAATTGAAAATAAACTGAAAGAGGTAAATGCCAGAGCAAGAACTTTCTTGGAGGGTAAAATAAATTCACATGCTACAGTTAAAAAAGAAACGTAAGTATATAAAATGGAAACATGAAAAATGCAGTTAATTTAAATGTGAAAACCATAAATAAATATGAGGAGTGACGGCACCAGGAAGCAAGAGGGCACAATGGAAATCAGGAGGACTGCACAGCAGCAGAGATCAAAGAAAAGAGGCAGCGTTCAGTGAGAAGCCCACATGTAGTCTATGGCTGGAAGAGCTGGGGTATCACTGTGCTCCAGCCCGAACACTTAAACATTCTCCAGTTATGTGTTCAAAGAGTTCTTAGTAAAACTTAGAAATAGCCAATTAGCCACCTTAATTCCTCATTCCTGATTTAACGCTCACCAAGCAAACCTGAACGTATGATTTAGAATATATCCAGGTAAATACTTCGGTGAAGATAATGACACCTGGCTATTGGTTTACCAGGGTCAAATGTGACAAAGGACAATGCAACAGAACCAACAGCATTATGGTTCATCATTCAGCCTCTTTTATATTTGATCGGCATGAAGGGTCTTCTAGGGCCTAATCATCCTTTACTGACAACTGTCACATTCTCGTATCAATAGACCCTGAGAACAGATGACCATGCCAAGGTATAAGGATGCCCAATGAAACTATCTGTTTCTTGCAACTATAGTGATTTGGTACATAGAGTGCATTCCATTAATAATTACTGTATTTACAGAAGGCAGCTTGTCTGAAGCAATGAAAAATATTCATCTTGTAAATGCATCACTTGCTCACTTTCTAAGCAGCCAAGTGGTATTGCTCATTTGTATCTTGAGAACGGGCAAGAGTATTCATATCGGTACCATTTCAGATTTCTAGTCATGTTAGTCATCTGGTTTAATTGCACTGAAAAATAATTAACAGGAGGAAAAGAAAACAGCAGTTCCCAAATGTCATTTTATGATTATATTAGTCCCCCCAAAGCCCTTAAACAACAAAAATGTCTCTTGAAAGTATTTTAGCACATCAAATTTTTAGAAAAACAAATTTTAAAATCAAATGCCAACTAACTCAATTGGAATTTTCTAATCAGGAACTGTGATTCTGCCAAAATCTTAGAAAGGAGGTACAATTTTTTAAAAAAGCATTTGCTTCCCTCCTAGGATAAAGTCTTGGTCTTAAACAAAAAACAGAACATTTGCCAAATAGCTGCATTTCCAGTGCATGTGGTTGCAGGGAATTGAGCGTTGTTTTCCTAGCCCATTTCAGAAGCTCTCCTACTCAGTGTCAAAGAATGTAAGCAAGGGGTAAAAGGTTTGGGATTCCACGCCTATCTTTGAAGAAGGGTGCTTTAGACCAAAAGGGGTTACTTTATCTTTTTAATTCTTAAAATTCCTTCTCATTGGTCAATTTTAGTTTTAGGATAAAATATTATTTGAAAGAATCATCTGAACTTCTTTTGCTGTGAAGAATTTGCTATGTTCTAGGTCATATGGTATTCTTTTTCTTGGTTCTGGGGATCGAACTCATGACTCTGTGTTTGCCAGGCAGATACTTGCCGCTGAGCTAAATCCCTGGCCCCTGGGTTATATGGTATTCTAAATGAGGTTAGGAAAATTCTAAAGTATGGATAGTACAGAGCAATTATCATGCACAAAGAAGAATAAAGGGGGACAATCTTAGAGATCAGGATAAGCCAAATTTGTAAAAATACAAATTTTGGGTACATAAGAAATATAACTCACTTTGAAGGTGTAGAAGGGCTGGTGATGCAGGAATTCACCATTTGAGAGGCTTTCAATGGTCTAGAACTATCAGAAAATTAGAAAATACAGTGTACATAATGTATACAATTACATTGTTAAAGATACATATTTAACTTATAAAATGAATTGTTTTGTGCCACAACTCACACATCTTCTTAAAAAACAAACAATTATATAATACTTATAAACTCCTAGGTAAGACAGGCCAAGAGACAAAGTGAAATATCACCTCTGGGCTATAATTAAAATAAATAGCTCTGAAAAAAGAAGTCAGTTGTAATGCTTATGAAAAGAACAATTTGGGGGAAATTACCTTGCCTCAGTTCTTTTAAGCCACAAAACAAGAATAGCTCTCATTTATTGAGGACTTACTAGATGTCAAGAACTCAACATATATTACCTAACTTAACACTGACAACCACCCTATTTTTTTCCCCTATGGATAAACCCAGGAATCTGACCAAAGTCTGAAAGCTATTAATTTGTAGCATCAGAGAGTCTGGCTTTAGGCCTATAACCATAAAGATCCTACACTGGTGGTGACACAATCCCACTACCAGGACAAGTAAAAAATACCAGCAGAGGGCAGTTTGTACTAGCAAAAGCATTCACTCCAAGACACAGGCAAGAGAGAGAAAAACCTGAAAATATTTAGACTCTCTGAGCACATGCTTTTATCAGCAGACCCTTGAGGGCTGAAGTGTAAACTTACATGACTTAACTTACAAATCCAAAGGGAAAATACACTTGAGACAACTGCAACAATTCACTGGCAAATGTTTGGTCACTTTCTAAAAGTTACTCTATTTTTGCCAAGAAATCTGCCTTTTTCACTTACTCGTATGACCTTAGGAAAAATCACTGAATATCCTGGGATCTCTGCAAAATTAAGGAGAATGAGCAAAATCTCAAAACTCCTTTTCATCTCTCAAGTTTTAAAATCTTGACCTTTAGTCTTTTACCAAATTAGTGTTTAAATACAGAAGAGAGTTACAGCATTTGATTCCAAAGTAATGCATGTAGAAAAGAGCACACTCTTCAGAGAAATCCTAAGATGTTCATGGCTAGGAATGATGGTGTAAAACCTAAAGTAAAGGTTATTTTGTTTCTCTTTGAAAGTTTCTCTAAGCCACTGAAACTTTTCACATTGTTGATAATTTACACTGATTTTTCTTTTTCTTTCTTTTTTTTTTTTTTTTTTTGCACCAGGAATTGAACTCTCGACCTTGCACTTGTCAGGCAGGTGCTTATGCTAAACCCAATCAGTATTTCTAGTGTCCCGGTGATTCTTATAATAACTCAAGTCTTCCAGTGCTCTAAAAGCATAAGAGCACTCCTTGCAATGTACCTTATTAAGCAAGGCAGCTAATAAACTTGGAGGAATTTTAAGCATTTTCTTTAATTATTTCTATCAGGCAGTAATCTAACATGAAAATTCCAAAATTAAAATCTTGATCGGATTCTACCTGGCAGTCACCTTACATAACTCAGTCATTCTTGTGATTGGCTACTAAAGCCCATTTCAAAGGGAAGATAAATACACTGCCTCTTAAGAACTTACATTGTTGCATGTGCAGTCCAGCCAAGAGTGAAAGGTGGTTTTGTATTTTCAGTGCAATGAGATGACAGGGTCAGGTATCTTGGAATGATGACTTGCTGCCCAATCTTATTGTTAAGTGAGAGAGTCACATTGAAGCTGTATCGTTTTAAATGAAGAATGAGGACCCTGAAAAACAGGAGAGGGTGATTCATACTAACACACATAGCACAGGTCACTCTCACACACAAGAAAGATCATTCTAACTAACCATATTAGACAAATTTTGATTTAAGGAATATATTTAGGTGGCGCATAGCTGTAATTTCAGCATTTCACAGGCTGAGGCAGGAGGATTGCTGCAAGTTCGAGGCCAGCTTGGGCTGCATAGTGACTTGAGTGGCAGGCTGAATTATACAGCAAGACCTTGTCTCAAAAACAAAAAACAAAACAACATTTGGAAAAATTAAAGACATTTCAAAGTATGCTTACTGTCAGCACACTGAAATCCAGTATTTTGTAAAGTTAATATGCACTAATAAAAAATTAATTTTAAAAATTACATTTACTATCAGTCATGTACCAGGTGTGGAACAAGGTACAAATAAAAACAATACTTGATACTCATGGATTAGTGAGGCTTGGTAAGATATTTATAATGCTTTTTATTTACAGCCACAGGGAACTCAATGCCAAAGTTCCTTACTCTTTCAAATATCTTAAGCACTGGGAGATGTTCAACCCTTCCAACGTGGAAAAAGAACCATTTGGGGGCTGGGGATTTAGCTCAGCGACATAAGCGCCTTCCTTGCAAGTGTGCGGTCATGAGTTTGATCCCTGGTACTGATAAGAATGAAAAAGACAAAAAAAAAGAAGAAAAAGAACTATTTGATATTTTTCTGCATGTGTGTATGGCCTACCCACCCCCTACAGCCAAAATGGAATGCAGAGGGAAGTATTAATTACAATGGCATTTTACAACTAGAGGTATACTGTAAAAGAGAGGGAAAGTAGTCAGAACTGTCTTATGTTCAGAGTTTCTTTGCATTGAGAAATACTCCCTCTTTATATTCTAAATGTAAATGTGAGCCACAGGAAACCTCAGCACCTGAGGTCTTTAAGGCATTTATTACCCTGGAGCCTGAAACTGCTCCTCCCAATCCTTTGGAACCTGACAAGACAGCCTTAATCAAAACCTCACCCACCATTACTGAACCTAAGGTTTTCCCTACCTGCCCTTCCAGTCTTAATGGGAATCTACACCAACTGTAACCCCCTCTATGGGGATATCTTTAGCTGAGTTTATGCAAGCTCTTCAAGGACAATATCCTTTATAGGAAATACATGGACAATCTGGAACTTCCAGAATTTATATGCCTTTCTCTTTGTGACTTAAAACAGATTAACATAGACCCTGGAAAATTTTACATGACCGTGATACGTATACTGAAATCCTTAGAGAGCTAGACTGGAAAGATGTAACATTACTCTTAAATCAAACACTTTCTAGTGAGAGATAAGCAGCATTACAAGCTGCTACTGCCTTTGGAGATGAATAACATATTGTTAATTCTAGAAGGCCAGAAGATAGCCAGGGAAACTACCAAGTCCCACTGGTTCCCAAGCAGTCCCTATCCAAGAAAGATCTCTACTGGCCTACCAGATGGGAAACTGGAACAGGAAACATTTCCAAGCGTGCGTTCTTGAAGGTCTAAGAGTAAGAATTAAACCATTCAATTATTTTAAATTATTAGCTATTTAACAAGAAAAAAAGGAACACCCTTTTGCCTTCTTTGATCATTTATGAGAGGCACTGATAAAACATACTTCCTGGGCTGGGGATTTAGCTCAGCGGCATAAGTACCTGCCTTACAAGCAGGCGGTCATGAGTTCGATCCCCGGTACCGATAAAAAGGAAAAAGACAAAAAACAAAACAAAAACAAAAACAATAATCATACTTCCCTAGATCTTGATTTGACAAGGTGATAAATTATTCTTAATGATAAATTAGTCAGCCTCAGATATTAGAAAAAAGTAATAAAAGATGGCTTTTGCTCCAGATAGTTCAGTTGATACTTTATTAAAAATTGCCTCCTCCGTATTTTATAACTGTGAGAGGGAAGCCAGAGAGAAAAAACAAAGACTGAGGGAAAGTGACTGTCTTTGTTGCAATTAAGAGGAGCAGATCCTAAGCCTGATTCTTGGGGCTCCAAGAAGAGTTCCAAAAGGACATCTACCTGTTATCGCTGCCATTAGCCAGGCCACCTTAAGAGGGACTGCCCTTGGAAGCCGCTGGGGCCATGCTCTGACTGCAAAGACCACCACCCAGGTCAGACTGCCCTCAGAGGCCAAGGCCCCAGAGTTCAGACACATCTTCTCAGTTGGTCCATCAAGACTGAAAGGTCCCAGGGCACGCTCCGCCCTCTCCCTTTCCCTGCTCCACAGAGGAGCCCTGGGTAATCATGACTACAGAGGGAAAAGAAACCAGCCTATTGCTGGACACTGGTACAAGTCTCTCAATTCTTCAATCCTAGCTTTTCTTCTAGTTGCCACACCTCAGTAAAAGGAGTCATTGGTGAAAGAGTTTTGGCCCAGACAGGACACGGTAGCTGGTAAAGCCTCAGATGGAACCAAGGAGTTCTATCTCCCCCACCCCTAGGAATTTACCTCTGGCGCCAAAGGAATACCAATGGGCTACCTGTGCATCCCTAATGCCCCTCAGGCTCCACCCCCAACCTAAGCTATATGTATGCCTCTACTCCATTTGTTCCACGGAGAGATCTGTGGGGATCCGGGGTGTCTCTCCCCGCATTCTCAAAGTAAAGGTCGTTTATATTTCATACTTCTGATCTTTTCAGCGGCACTGCCGGTCCCCCACAGTTCTATCAAGTGGGGAGGAGGTAATTCGCTATTTTTCACAAGGCTTAGGCTGTAATTGGGATGGCTTTCTTTTTACACATTTATTTCTGATTATGCCTGAAAGTCCCGTTCCTCTCTTAGGGAGAGATATTTTATCATGTTTAAATACCATAATATATATATATATATATATACATATATATATATATATATATATATATACATATACATACACACACATATATACACCCAGGTCAAGTATGCTGACTTCCCCTCGTGGAGAGAGAAATAAATTCTGAAGTATGGGCAACTAAATGTAAAACAGGTAGGGTAATAAAAGCTGCTCCAATACAGATACATCTCAGAGATTCTATTTATTTTTCCTCACTAGAAGCAATATCCTTTGAGATCTGAATTTAAGAGAGGATTACAACCTATAATTGACAATCTAAGGACACATGGTTTACTTACCCCTGTAACAGTCCATACAATATTCCAATCTTGGTTGAAAGGATTTTGCCCTAAAGAGAAGGCTGCAGCACTGGGGTAAGGTCACCTTCCCGGCTCCTAGGCAATTTACCTGTGGCCTCAAAATGAATTCCAATGGGCTACCTGTGCATCAATAATGCCCCTTAGGCACCACCCAAAACCTAAGCTATATGTATGCCTCCACACTAAGTGTCCGGCAAGGCCACTTTACTTTATATTCTGTCTTCCAACCACGCTGAAAACGCTTTCATTGGCAATTCAAAAACCCAATGGGGAATGGAAATTAGTATAGGACCTTTGATTGATACATGAGGCCATATTGTCATTTCACCTGGTGGTATCTAACCAATACACTCCCCTTTCTCAGATCCTGGAAGATGCCAGTTGATTTTCAGTGTTAGATTTAAAAGATGCCTTCTTCTGTATTCCTTTACATGTAGATGCAGAGTTTTTTGGGGGTTTTTTTTTTTTCCACTTTAAAAACCCCACATGACTAGGCATCTCAATTGACATAGACCGTACTTACCCCAGGGTTCAGGGATAGTCTGCATCCTTTTGGACTTGGCATGTTTTGAGTTTTCCTAGGTTACAATCTTACAATATGCAGATGATATACTGTTATGTGCTACCTCACAAGAGTTCTGTAGCCAAGGCACTTGTGCTCTGCTAAATTTTCTAGCAGACAGAGGCTGTAAGGTTTCTAAATATAAGGCACAACTCTGCAGTCTTGAAGTAAAATATTTAGGCCTCATAGTATTCAAGGTAACCCAAAGACTAGGAAAAGAAAGAATTAAACCAATTCTTTCCTTGCCACAGTCCAAGACTCTAAAATAACAAAGGGGATTCTTAGGAGTTACAAGTTTTTGCCGCCTTTGGATACCAGGATATGGGGAGATTGCACAACCCCTCTTATCAACTTATAAAGGAGACCCAAAAGGCAAAGAGACCCAAAACCTGATTCCCAAGCTGCATTCCAAAGCTTAAACAAGCACTTCTAAATGTCCCAGCCCTGAGCCTATCCACAGGATACCATTTCAATTTATATGTAGATGAGAGGCTGAGACATGGCTTTGGGTGTACTTACACAGGATTGAGGACGCGCTCAACAGCTTATAAGGTATCTAAGCCATGATTTAGACATTGCAGTCAAGGGATGGCCTGTTTGCCTTAGAGCTGTGGCAGCTGTAGCTCTCTCTTTTTTTTTTAACCAGTACGGGGGGATCGAACTATGACCATAAGCTTGTGCTTATGCCGCTGTGCTAAATCCCCAGCCCCTGTAGCTCTCTTAATAAAAGAAATCCAAACTGACTTTAGGCAAAGATCGCATGGTACACAGTCCTCAAAATGTGGCAGGACTGCTTTCTTCCATAGGGAGTCTATAGCTGTCAGATAATCAACTTCTTAAATACCAGGCTTCTAGAAGGTCCAGCTCTTCAAATAGACATGTTCCTCCTTGAACTCTGCCACCTTTTTGCCAAAGGAGGAAGAAACTGAGGCTGACAGACATGATTGCGAACAGGTAATTCTCTAGACATACGCAGTCAGAGAAGACTTATTAGACTCGCACCTTACTGACCCTGATTTAACTCTCTTCTGTGATGGCAGTTCCTTCATGGAAGACGGAGCAAGAAAGGCAGGGTATGCAGTGGCAACTTTACATCAGATTCTCAAAAGTTCCTCACTTATGCCTGTAACTACTACTCAGCTAGCAGAACTCAAAACCCTGACCAGGGCCCTACAGCTCAGCAAAGGACAAAAAGTTAATATTTATACTGATTCAAGATATGCTTTTCTAGTATTACATGCTCATGCAGCCATATGGAAAGAAAGAAATTATCTA